CAAGTGCATGATTTCACCACGATGGCTCACATAATATTTCATTTTTATCCATGCATATATGTCCTCCGCCATTTTGTGTCTCTCCCATCCCCCGCCCTCCCCCACCTCATTACAAATTTAAATATTATTATTATTATTATTACTATTATCATTATTATTATTATCTTTATTATTATTATTGTTATTATTATTATTATTATCAATATTATCATTATCACTACTCACTGCACACTAAAGGTGTGTTGCTCCAACTCCTCTAGCCGTGTCAGTTTCCGTTCCTTTTTCTTCGGGGCCAGCAGCTGTGTCTTGGGCAGCATGGTAAACATGTGCTTGAAGTAGTCGTCCGCAGGGCTTGTTTGGTATCTCTGGAGGGACATTTCATTCAAATGCCACAAATTATAATTTTAAAACTTGCAAAAATAAGATGAATAGAAAACAATATGTTTTAGTAAGTGTTTTACTGCACTTGCAACACAGTAAAGTCCTATAAGTGCTGACGATTAGAGGTGTTACAAGAGAGTAACAAACATTAAAAAAGGAAAAGAGATGAGGAGGATTGATATTTGATAGGATAGAAGGAGCAATCCACAACCGCCCACAGAAAAAAAAAAAAACTTGAAAAAAAAGCTGAAGATTAAAAGGTAGGAAAAAAATGAAAGAAAGGAGTAAGGAAAAACAAAAGTGACAAAGAGGAAACCGGAGAGCGAGGAAAAAGGAAGTAGGACCTACCAGTTGCGTGTTCCAACCACCTGCACTGTATTTCTTCTCACCTTGTAGTAAATGCCATCCATGCCTTTCACAGCCTTCAGTTCCTTCTCTCTCTTGATGGCTTCCAACTCCAACTTCTCCATTTTCTCCTCCGACATCTCTCTAGTCCTCTCATCCTCGCTCTCATCATCAGAATCCGGAAGCTTGAGTTTCTTGTACTCTCGCTGGAAAACTCTTGACAGAACTGTGGTTGGCATTTTCTTTTTCTTGTCCTGGTTCGTTGAATAAAAAGTTTAATCTGATCTCAGTCATATTTGTTAGTGCACACATAACATGGAAGAGAAGAGAATGGCTGATTCCGTTGTTGAAAAAACGTTCTTTTAAGCTCAATATTAAACAGAATACAGGAACAAAATGGTTGAAGCATCTTCATGTTCTGTTATTCAAAGGACAAATCTCTTTTAAACTAAAGTTAACTCTGACACCTCTTCCCCCCCCCCTTCCTAAAATAGTTTAAAAGAGATTTTGAGCATGGTGTCTTAAACAACTTTATCCCCAATTTGTTTGGAGACAACAAAACAACTAAATAGCACTCTTTTTTCTTCCACCGGGCTCAGGGAGCGACATTCCTGTCTCTGCTAGAGCAAGAGACGCTAATCACAAAGCATCTCTTAATTGCTAAATATCCTCTACAAATTACCTGCTGCTCTAGGTTCAGCTTCACCTTGGATGACACGGACACAGTTGATTTTTCAGCTGCAGATATTGGTCTCATAACACTCAGCTGAGATAGACTGTAGTAGAGAAAAAAGTATGTTTAACAATTAATTCTCATCTATAACTTAAAGCCATCTCAGCATATCATCTAAATGACAGTACCAGTAAAATCAAAACTTGCACTAAATGTTTCCCAGGAAGTTGAGAATGACCCAGAATTTTATTGGGTCTGTAAGGGTAATAATAAATTGTAAAGCCCATGGATAATATTTTTGAAAAGGGAAATATGCATTATGCAATCTATTATTATCGCTATCGTATCATTCTTCTTCTGGGGGCTCCAGTGGCTAAGTGAGTAGTGAGTCTTGACTCAAGCAATGTCAAGCAAGTGTCGGTGACACAGGGATCAGATGGGTGGTCACTGGAGTGTGTCCTTGAGCAAGACACGACAACCCTAGCTCAAATTACAGGGCGCTGCACAGTGGCGACCGACAGTGGCATTGTTTGTAAACTGTTCTGTATTTGTGTAATAGTGTGTATTTATGTATGTATTTATGCATGTATGTATCTATGTATGTACGTATTTATCATTATGTATTTATGTATGTATGTTTGCCATTGTAAAAAAAAGTGCCCTTCTGGGACAAATAAAAGAGTAATTTATTATTATTATTATTTATTATTCTTATTGGTCTCTTTATACTTTTTATCATTATTATTAATATTATTATAATTATTATTTACCACAGATATTATCATTATTGTCTTTACTTATTTTCATTGTCTTATCTTATTTAATCACCTCCATCAAACCTTCTCAACTTAGAATTGTCCAATCTTATCAGCCTAATCTAATCCATTTATCATCTTACATTGTCAGATCCACAAACAGAATAAGTTTCATCCAGGCACATTTAATTGCAGCCAAATGGATGCCCAGCTATAGACAGCAAAAGATCTTATCAACTTGTTTAAGTGAGAGTAATCAGCAGCCTGCACTCTATATTTCGCAGGCAGCTGAGTATGCTTCTCAGTGTTCTAGGGTCTAGTGGAGTAAAAATTGTAGAAAAGAGCATAAAGCATGCTGTAGAGTGTAGTTTGAGGGATCTGTAGTTCGAGGGATATCTTACAAAGATAAAGAAGAAAAAAAACCCGGGACTGCAATCAGTTTGACGGATGTGTGATTTCGAGTCTTCTGTGTTCGACCTATCTGTGTTATACTGTAAATGCGATTATTATTAATATTATCATCATTATAAATCATATTCTATCTAATAATGTGCTTACCCAGTGGGCGTGGTTCTGTCAGTGCTGACATCTCCACTAGACCCCGCCTCTGGCTCCTCCCCATCACGGTTCTCCTCCCATCCAGTCTTCACACGGTCAGGGTGACCAGTCAAGCCAGAGCTAAACTGCAGCTCCACCTCGTACTCCTTCTGACCAGCAAAGTATCTGAGGTCAAAAGCAGAAAATAGAAACAGTCAAACCTGCTCTAAAGACCATCTGTTCAAGACAATAACCTGCACAATTGACCACTTTCCACCCCACCCATGGCCTTTTTTTCTGTATGTGAGGCAGCGTGGTGGAATCAGGTTCTCGTCAATTTTTGGGCATGTAGAGTTATTGGTATCATCTTAAAGCTTGTTCACTTGTCTTCATTTGGATGAAAAAAATATCCATTTATCTAGAATACAAGTCGAGATATTTGCAAAAGAAGGAGGTGGGGGTCACTTGTTTTCAGAGGTAAAATTGGTGAGAAAATGGCCGCCAAAAAGTACTTATTTCCTTAGCTTTAGAGTCCGTGGTAACTGAAAATTTACATTTTTACGCCTTTAATCAATGCTTTTCAGAAAAGTCAACACAGAAATGAGTTCTTTAATGGGCATGAAAGGTGTAGAGCCAAAAAACAAAAATTTGATAAAAATTCATGAACCTGCAGAAAAATGCCAGTTTCTTCACTTTGATTATTTTGATGAGAGACTGATTCCACCACGCTGCCTCACATATCATAATGACACTATTTAAGAGGACCACCTGTCTAAGATAACCATTTAAGTTCTTCTCAATAATGCATGGTCGTCTTGGACAGGTTTGAATGTAGCTATACGTGAGAAAAGCTGGTGATAAATTAGGAAAACCAAGGGCAAAAAAATCAACACAGGATGAAACAAGCTAATGAGGGGGAAAGGATATGTTTCTTCTCAGAAGGAGCAGTGTGGGAGGAGAATTTTCTAATGTATCATCACTGTCTCTCCAGCAAAATGAGAAACTTAATTTTTCTCTGCCGGCTGAACAGGATGAATAGAACAAATTTTAGTTGCTCAGTTTTCTTGAGGCAGTGACAATATATATATATATATATATACAATATATATATATATATATATATATTATCTATATAGGCCTACAAGAGTGGACTTTGGAGGAGAGAACTTGGGATTATTATCATTATCACAGTTACCGTGTCTATTTTATTCTTTCTTCTTCTTTTTTTTCGTCTACTTCTTCACCTTATCATCATTATTCTTGCATTATTACTATCTCGATGGATAACAACAACGGCATTTTTACTATAATAATTATGACTATGAGAATAACCATTTCATTTCACACTGTTCATAAAAATGTCTGTAAATTCCCCTACCTTGGCAATCGGATGATCTCAAAGTACAAGTTGCACATCCAGTGATCCAAGTCGGAAGCTATCAGCTCTTCAATCTTCTCATGCTTGTCGATGTCTGAGTCCATCGGGCCACGCAAAAACGGGCAATGGTACCTGCACACAGGAAGAAACATGACCGCTCTGTCATTTTCTTTTTTTTTCATTTAAAAATAAATCTGAATTATCAATTTTTGGCTCTTGAGCCAATGCTCAGGGTACCGGTTTTTCTTATTTTTCAGGTCATTGTTTCCTCAAACTCCAGGACAAATATTCACAGATATTAAAATTTCGTTGCAATGTAATCACTTTCAACAACAAAGCACATCACTTCATACATTGAGCATCAACAAATAAGACAAATATATATAACAAATCCACACACATTCAAAACACACCAACACATAACACTCATAATATTATATCACACATCAACAGACTCATTGGACTTCAACACATAACATTTATGTATCACACATAAACACACACGCGCACACACACACGCACACACACACACACACACACACACACACACACACACACACACACACACACAGGGAGCACACAAAAAAATAACACTCATATATCACATATCAACACATTCATAGCATACCAGCACAATAGAATCTTCACATATCATATATCAACACAAAATTGTGCATCAACGCATTACACTCACATTTCCCCCATCATCACATACACTATGCATTAATACATAACACTCACATATCACACATCAACACTTACACATACACACACGGTGCACCATCACATAACACCAACATGTCACACATCAAAATAATTACTGCGCATCAACACATCACACTCACATACCACACATCAATGCACACTCACATACCCCACACCAACACATTAACTATCACAAACCACATCTGGCTTACACTAACAAACAACTGGACACATTACCTGCCCTCCACAATGTCAAACTGCCCGTCACAGATGGGGAAAGCGCCCCAGGCAACCACATGGTCAGTACTGACCACCGAGCCTCTAAGAAGGAACAGCTCGAAGACTAACACCATGCCTGGCCGGAGGGAGAGCTTGGGTGGCAGCACTGTGAACAGGCTTTGGTCAAGCTGTTTCAAAAGATAGAGAGAGAGAGAGTCAGTGAGAGTGATTTATGGATATTTTGGAAAAACGGATGGATATATGAATGGATGAATGGATAAGTAGGTAAGTAAGTAGGTAGGTGAATGGGTGGGTGGGTGGAAGGATGGATGGATGGATAGATAGATAGGCAGACAGACAAACACACAGAGACATACATGCTAATAACTAATATGTATCACGACGGGGTGGAATCAGGTGCTCGTTAATTTTTTGGCATATGGAGTTATTAGGTATCGTCTTAAAGCCTGTCCATTTGCCTTGCTTTCAATGGAAACAATACCCATTTATCTTGGATACAGGTCGAGATATTTGTGATTGAAGGAGGTGGGGTCTCTAGGTTTCAGAGGTAAAATTAGCGAGAAAATTGCGCCAAAGTTTAGTTATTTCCTTGGCTTGAGAGCCTGTGGAAACTGAAAATTTACATCTGTTAGGCATTTAATCAATGTTTTTCAGTAAAATCAACACAGAAATCTACCCAGCACTAATTAACTTATCAATGATTCAAGAAAAGTACACGACAGAAACAGCAAGCGGCTCACACTTACAGTAAATTAAGAAACGCGAAAAGTCGTGATAAAAATACTTTCCAATAGTTGTAGTGAATGTGAAATAAAAGCCCCTTAGCTGCTAATCATAGACTATCACGTGGAAATTGGGGACTGGTGTGATATAGGCGATTGATTTACTGAAGGATTAAAACACTTTGCAGTAATATTTCAAACTCGGGATTTTAACACATTATACCCAAAGGGTCTGGACGGGAAGTCCATTGTTAGATCCTAAGTAAGGGGAAGGAACCTACATATCCCGTGAATACAAGCCTTTAAAAAACACATTTTAAAAATACTAAACAAATTCCAAAAATCC